CCAGGGATGTGAGGTAAATGCAGCGCAGGCTCGCAAGCAGCAGGCAGCGGCGGCGCCCGCTGGGCGAGCTGCCGCAGCCGCAGCTCCTGAGGGCGCCGCCCCAGCGCGGGCCCCAGACAAAGTTGCGGCAGCACCAGCGCAGCCTGGTGCAGGGAGCCAGCCGGGCGGAGGAGGTGTCCGTCAGCAGCGTACTGGGCCTTCTGGTCCTCGCGGGATTTCCAGTCTGTCTCTGGTGGATGAGGCTGCGCTGCGTGCTTGGCGCGCCCATACAATCAACAGCTCGAGTTCTGGAACGCGGCCAAGCGGATGCGGGCCAAGTTGGGCTTCGATGAAGACATGTCTGATGCTGCTGAAAACTGCAACAACTCAACCGCCGTGCAATGTATGAAACAATTGGATCGTAGGACCGTGATCGGTTCGAACATCTCTTGGTCAAACAAACCTCCTATGTGGACCCCCCAAAAGGGTAATGAAGAAGTGGGTGCGATGCCCAACAGCAAGTGTTGTCCAACACCGACTGTGGCCTCTGTTGGGCAAGCGGCCTCTTTTCTTATTAAATGAACAACGTCCGACGCGACGTCGACAACGAATCCTGGTCAGAATGAACTGAATTTGCTGTTGGGCTTACACCCCTTGTTTCCGTACCCATTTAGGTCCCCCCGATCCCAGACGGCCAAGAAGAAAACCAACACCGTGCGTTCTGAGGCTACCGTGAGGTCGGGCATGTGCCGCCAGAGGCGGATTTTGGAAGAGAAATATAAATGGCGCTCCGCGCGGATATCTTGGATCCACGCCAAATCCTGAGAGAGGCCAACAGGGGGCCCAGCGCGGATCCAAGAAATCCGCGCGGAGCGCCAAAAGGTCTTGCCTATGTCGTTTCTCTCTTCTTCGAGAACAGTCGTCACCAAACAACATCTTTAAACTGCTCTCGGAGATTCCACCAACAGAAGGACATACCCGACGTACAACTAAAGCCATCTTCTCATGGCGCCAACATCGCAGAGTGGATTTCGTTCGGAAAACGATAGGATGGGCCCGGAGTGTTCTGGAGAATTTCGTTCCGGACTTCGAGGTGAATGTTGTGTGGTTTTCTTTGGCCAGGAATGAAGACCGAACACGAACCCACGCGAAATGCACTCCGTATTTCACTCGCCGTTTCGGGTTTTCGCATCGACAGAGATGCATGCAAAAATCCGCTGCAGCACGTCTGCAAGATCGGTATCGGGGATCTTCTGACCTGGGTCAATCCAGACCCTGGTCAGCAGGACACCAAAAAACTGCAAAAGAAAAACAAAAAAGCTGCAACGCAGGTCGTCGCAAACCCGGGTCAGCCAATATGCACGGCCGCCTCGCCGCCACGAGCGGCTCGCGAACCCGGGTCAGCCAGAGGGGGTCTTCGCAGGACCCTGCAGGATCCGGTGCCCTGGCTGACCCCCGTTTGCATTGACCCCCGCCTCTTGAGCCCCGACGGTGCAGTGAACCTTCTGCTCCGGCAGGCCTGCCGCCCCGCTGGCCGGAGCGGCAGGCGGCGGCGGGGCCCTCCTCTGGCGGCCCCGCGAGGGAGAGGCGGGGCAAAAGCCGTGCCTTCGGCTTCGGCGCGGCCCGCGGGCGTAGGCGGTCTAAGCGGTCGTGGCCCTATGGGCGGTCCAGGGGAGGGGGTAACGGGAGGGGTAAGCCCCTCCTTTCGATTCACCCCCTTTGGGCGCCCGAATTTATCCGGGGCAACTCGGGTCCGGGGTAACTCGGGCTTGGGTTCCCGAAAAACGGACCAGAGTTAGCCCTGACCCGAGTTACCCCTGATTTGGGGCTCTGGACGCCCGGGTTATCTGGGGTAACTCGGGCCCAGGGTAACTCGGGTTCGGAATCCCGAAACACGAACCCGAATTAGCCCTGACCCGAATTACCCCTGATGATTCGGGGCTCTGGCTCCTCCCTGGACCTGGAGGGGGGGCTTCGCGAGGCGTTTCGCGAGGCGATGGAGAGGCCTGTGAGCCGTCATCGCTCCAGGCCATCTCCAAAGTTACTTGAACTCCTGTTTTGCAGGGGAAGTCCTGCGGAACGTTTTCTCAGGCCACCCCCCTCTCCCCTCCTCCGCGGTTGATTTTCAACATGTCTTGTATGCCTGGCTGCTCTAGAGCGCAGCGGCCGCACACTGCAACCGATGTGCCGTCTGGGCACGGTTCTGGCCTGACCTGACCCGTCCTGCAGTATCACGCGTGGGAACAAGGTTGCGGGTTCGCTTGCGCAGGAGGTGAAGCCGACGTGTGCCGATTTCTTGTGGCGTGCCGTATGCTTCTTGGAGTCCCTCGGGGGCGTGTTGCACTGTCTCGGAGGCCTCTCGGGCTGCCTCTGGCGGCCGCCTTGGGCCATCTAGGGGAAAATTGTCGCTCGGGCCCAGCTGCAACGCCACGCAGACTCCCAGCGCTGGCCCGGAAGGGATCAGAGGGCAGGGGCCTTTTTGTAAGCATAAGCTTCTCTCTGAGGCCTGTCGGGTCGCCACGAGAAATATGTGAGTGGAGGCCCCATGTCTCCCCAGCTGGCGGCGGCGGATGAAGTACGACCTGGCCCCGCAGCGCCGTGGCGTCGAGAGTGGGTCTCACTGCGGCCAGTGGGGCGGGCCTGCTTGGTGGAACCCTCCTCCGCGGCTTCCAAAGAGGCACGAGCACCGACTTGGCGAACACCACGGTCGTCGCGTCGATCAAGGTATACACCGGCATGCTGAGCTTGTTGATGACGGCGTCGCGAGGCGACTGCTGATGGAACACTTCTGGATGCGGATCTCTCGTCAACACTGGCACCGCTGGATCCTCGATGAAACGGCATTGTGGAAGCTTGAGGCTGGGAGCGACAGCGAGCCAGCGGTGAGCAGCTGAGCGGATCCAGAACGCTTTGCTTAGAGGCACGTGGGAGCTGATGAGAAGGACACCGAAGTCCAGCACGAGGTCGTCACAATCTTGGAGCGGAAGGAGTGAACCTGGAAGCAGGATCGACCAGCGGACACGGAGGCTGGGAGCGGGCCCGACCAGCCGATAGGAACGGCGGCCTGCAACGCCGTGAGTGTCAGCGGGGTGCAAGAAATGGAGAGCTGGCGCGGACTAACGGTGTCTACGTATTGGCGGGGCCCAAGAAGCATCTTGAACCCAAACTACTACGAACCGATGAGAAGGAGAAGGAGGAGGAACAAGAGGAAATGTGTGGGGAGGAAAAGGAAGATGACTGAGAAGACGCTGAGGATGGAGTAGGAGGACGGTGGATGATAGGGAGAGGGAAGATCCAGAGAAGGAAAATAGACAGGGAGGGGGGAGATACCATCTGCGCAGCCGTCAGCCACGACGACCATCCTACATTTGCGCAAGACTTCTACTAACCCACAGAGAACATCGCATTCAAATGGCAACATGTATGGGCCGGAACAAATCTTCGCTGCAACGGCCTCACAACTGGAGCGAAGTGTGCGACCTTTGCCTACGCACCTCTCTGCCTTAAACGCGACGCGCAACGGCGTCGAAATCTAAAGTTTGGGCTAGACCTCACGTCAACAACCTCACTGGCCTACGTGACAGACAGAGACAGAGGCCCGGGCAAACCACATAGGTTGGCCCGTAAACGAGAGGGGTCACAAAGCACCAGGCTAAGCATTGAGGCTCTGCACTGGACTGCGCCTTGTCTAGGGTAACAAAACTATCTATATTGAAATGCGCAAAACAAGAACTCGCAAATCCACCGCTCCCCTAGGCAGCGCCGTGGGATGTGTCTGCCTCTCCCACTTGAGGGGCGGGCTTGGGAACTTATCCCGCTTTGGACCTCACCTTGGCACACTCATCCCTGGGATGGGCTTGGCAAACTCAAGTCCAGGGGTGAGATCGGCAACCTCATCCCTGGGGGGGGGGGCGATCTTGTCGGCGTCGGGGAGCGCCAGCGGGGGAGCTCAGCAGGAGTGCCTCCGAAGCTCATGGGGGCGCCCAGGGCGCCCCTACAGTGCTCGAGGGATGTCGCCATCTCGAATGCCCTACGAGGAGCCCCAAGAGAAACCCGACGAGGCGCACTACAGACGGCCCAAGAGAGGCCCCCATATAACCAGTCTCTGCGTAGCAACTTGTGCTTCCGGCCGCGTTTGTCGGTTTCATGCGTTTTTGTTTGTGTTGTCTGTACTTCCTGTTGCTAGATGATCCAGGATGCTCCTCCATGGTTCCGCCGCGAGAGGCCCCCAGGAGATCCCAGGAGGCCCCACGAGGCCCCCAAGAGGCACCAAGGAGGCCCCAAGAGGCCCCCAAGAGGCCTCCGAGAGGCCCCTGCGAGGCCAGAAAAAGAGGCCCCAAAACAGCTCTGCTCCAAAATGCCTCCAGGAGGTCCCTGAGAAGCCTCCTATGAGATCCCAATGAACATCCAAGAGGCCTCTCACCCACAACCCAGGCACTGTGGCGGGGTGCGCCGAAGGTCATTCGATGCATCAGTGTCTTCCTTTCTCCCTTTCTCCCTCTCTCTCTGGTTTGTTTACTTTGCTGGTTTGTGTATCTATAGACTTCACATATGTGTATGTTTGTACCGTTGTGTATGTATGCAGATATCAGTATCTCTCTCTCTCGCGTTCTAGATCTCTATATGTTATCTCTCCCTTCCCGTCTTCTTCACCATCATCATTATCACCGCTATCATTATCATCACCATCGCCATCACCATCACCATCATCATTATCATCAACCTGCGTTTTCTCGTCGTCGTTCCTCCTCCTCCTCCTCCTCCTCCTCCTCCTTGTGCCCCGACATGCTCTGTTCCATGCTCCCCTTACCAGCGTCTGCACGGCCAACCGCGGCCTCAGAACGTCAAGGTGTCGGCGGATATCTGTGGCGCCAGCCAGATGGAGCATCCGGACCTGCTCTGCTTCCCCCGCCCCCACCGAGGATTCCTCCTCCTCCTCCTCCTGCTCCTCGTGCTCCTGCTCCTCCTCCTCACCGCCTGCGATCACAAGAACACACATCACAAGTGCGGCGCTGACAAGCTCAGGCTTTGGGCCCTGCGTCCACGACGGCCTTCGAGCACAGGTCCGCATACTCCTTGAAGTTGTCCTGGAAGAGCTTGGCCAAGCCCACAGCAGTCTCTTGAAACTTCTCGGCGCTCTGGTTGTTCTTGAGCCACGCCCTCTTCGGCTGCAGAGTCTCGACCGGCACGTCCTTGATGCCAGTGGTCGGGACCTGGAGCCCGAAGATGGGCATCTCCTCCCACTGGACGTTCTCGAGAGAGCCGTCGTGGATCGCGTCGATCAGCTGCCTGGTGTCCTTGAGGCTCATGCGGCTGCCGGCGCCGTAAGCCCCGCCGGTCCAGCCGGTGTTCACCAGGTACGCGGGTGCGCCCACCTTCTCCAGCTTTGCCGCCAACATCTGCGCGTACACGTACGGGTGCCACACAAGGAAAGGGGCGCCGAAGCAGGCGGAGAAGGTGGCCTGCGGCTCCGTGATCCCCATCTCCGTGCCCGCCACCTTGGCGGTATACCCAGCGATGAAGTGGTACATCACCTGCTCGGGCGTCAGCTTGGAGATCGGCGGAAGCACGCCGAACGCGTCGCAAGTAAGGAATATGATCTGCTTAGGCTGATGGTGTACGGTCGCTGGGATTCGGGCGTTTGGCATGAACTGGAGCGGGTAAGACACCCGAGTGTTCTCGGTCAGAGATACGTCGCTGTAGTCCACGTGGCCAGTTGCCTCGTCCCAGACAACGTTCTCCAGCACAGAACCAAACCGGATCGCGGCGTAGACCTCTGGCTCCTTCTCCGCGGACAGGTCGATCGTCTTCGCGTAGCAGCCGCCCTCGATGTTGAACACGCCCTTGGAAGTCCACACGTGCTCGTCGTCCCCGATTAGGTCCCTCTTGGGGTCCGCGCTCAGCGTCGTCTTCCCTGTGCCGCTCAGCCCGAAGAAGATGGACACGTCGTTATTGACGCCGATGTTCGCCGACGCGTGCAGCGGGAGCGCGCGCTCCGCGGGGGGCAGCTCGCGCTTGGGCATCAGCGGCATCAAGTAATTCATCACGGTGAACACGCCCTTCTTCATCTCGCCCGCGTACTGGGTCCCCAGGATTACCATCTCCTTCCGCTCAAAGGACACGGAGACGGAGGTGGACGACGTCATGCCTTCGGTGCGCCTGTTGGCGGGGAACACGCCCGCGTTGAAGATCACGAACGGGTCCTCGAAGTGCGAGAGCTCCTCCTGGGTGGGCGGTACCAACATGTTCTGCATGAAGAGAGCATGGTACGCGCGGGTCGTGATGACCCGCACGGGCACGCGATACTCCTTGTCCCACCCCCCGAAGCCGTCGATGATGTAGAGGCGCTCCCGGGTGTTCAGATAGTCCACGGCTCGCTCCCGATTGGTCAAGAAGGACTCCTGTGCGGGGCGACGGCGCAACGGTGGTATCGTAGCCCGTCCGATCAAACGATCGATCCTATCGGCGGACCGGCCGCCGCTGGCCAAATGATCGGCAGGTTGGCGCCTGATCGGCTGGTCGCCCCCTGGCTGATCGGCCGACTCCACTTCTCTCCTCCTGCTCCCCGTCGTCCCCCTCCTCCCCCCTCGCCGTTCCGCGCCGTCCGCCCTGGGCGTCCGCGAGAAAATCGCTGAGGCCCATGCGAGGCGCTTCGGGAGAGCCTCGAGGATAGATGTCTTCCCCGCCAGGCGCAGCACAGGCAAGGTTTCTCGAGCGGGGCTACGGCAGGAGTGAGATACAACAAAAACCTTGATCGGGCGAAGAATCACAAATATTTGGCGCCCCGAAGTAGGGACGATGCTGAGAGCTGTCCCTGAATCTCACGGTGGGCATTGTCAACTGCCTTGTTCCACAAGGGTGCGCGGTGCTTGGTCCTCCCATGGGCGTTGGTACCCACAAGCCAATCGACTTTGAACGAGCATCCTCCCTTCTCCTTTCTTCTCCTGTGCCTCCTCCCTCTTCTTGTTTCTCATCTCCCCTTCCCCTTCCATCACGTTTTACGCACAGGCCACCCATCGTGCATCTGGGACGAAGTGGGACGTCATCGGCCCCCCTGGCCCTGGGACTCCTTACATCGACTATTGCTGACGTGCTCTTGAGGACTCCAGGCCCCCCATATGACGGGTCTCCGTGGCGATCTCGGAGCTCACCGCGTAACTCCTTCGGAGGACCATGACGTGGCTGAAGGCGAGCTCTCAACATGCGCTTAATGTGTCCCCGTGGACTCGCGCCGAAGAGACACTGGGCACCTCCTGCGCTGTCTCGGGGCCCTCGGGGGCGACTAAAGAGCGAAATATAGCCCTGACGCATCGTGTCCTTCGTGACTCTCGCATGCCAGCCGGGACCCCAAACAGAGCCCCAAGAGGGGCCCAAGTGCGCCGCGAGACCGCTGAACGTTTCCTGTCCAATATGGCCCCAAGACTGCCATCTGGCCCAAGAGAGACTCCCAAGAGACAGGAGGGCACCCAAAGGCCTCCTCGAGGACCCCCAGAGACCCCTCAAGAACCTCCTGGCCCACTAAAGCCATTCATGCCAGGAAAAAATGGGGTCGAAGATGTCCCAGGTGGTCCAGTATTGCCTTGAAGATGCCCTGGAAGATGTCCAAGATGTCAGCGAATATGTCCAAGAGGGTCGAAGATGTCCAAAACGACCCAAGGTGGTCTCCAAGATGGCTCAATATGCCTCGAAGATGGGCCAAGAGATCTCCGAGGCGGCCTCAAGGAGGGTCACGATGCCTCCAAGACGGGCCCAAGAGGGCTCCGAGAAGTCCCCTAACCCCAAGACGGCTGAAGAGGTCCGGGCAAAATCTCCCCCCCGTGCTGCCCGAAGGAGCGCGAGCTCCAGCTCCGCCTGGGCAGCTGACAGAGGCGCCCCACGGTGCTGTGCGCACCGCAGGCTGGCCCAAAGCGAACGCGATCGTTTCGGGCCTCGTGGGGGCCGCGTTGGGACGCAGGGGAGTTGGTCGGACACCATCGCTCAGCTCGACGGAGGGGAAAACGAATGGCGGGAAAGGGGGGGGTGAAAGAGAAGCGAGAGAGGAAGGCCCAGAGGAGGGCTCTCGGGACGCCCTCTTGGGCCTCCCGGGAGGCCCAAGAAGCCTGGCGGAAAGCCTAATATACCTCAACACTGCACTGCACATTTACGACTGCCTCGACTATTTTAATCAACACCTTTCATGGTCGGGGACGCACTGACCCGGGTCAATCCAGACCCGGGTCAGTCAGGCCTTACAGAATCCTGTAAGATCCTGAAAAGTCCTGCACCCAACCCCTGTCGACGCGCAGGATCCTGCAAGATCCTGCAGGATCCTGCACCCTGGCCCTGGCCCTGCAGGATCCTGCAGGATTGGGCGCTCTGGCTGGCCCCAGTTTGCATTAATCGGCTACGCGCAAGAGTGACCCTAGGTAAGAGTGACCTTTGGTGCGCGGCTCTTTGGGGCCAAACGCAAGCGCGCAAGACGCCACTGCCGCTTCGCGTTCGGCGATTGGGAACCCCAATGGGCCCGCACCAAAGGTCGCTCCGGCGAAGGGTCACTCTTACGTGTAGTCGAATTGATCTCCGTCGCAAGGCTCCCGACCTGGGATTCGGCCCCTTTTCCCGGGGATCCGTCCGAACCGCCAAAAGGGTCCCCTCCCCCCCCACCCACTACATCCCAAACACGTAGGGGACTGCATGCACCCGCCCCCTCACACAAACCCACGACCCGCAGCTACCCCTACCCACCCTTGGCGCCGCCCCTTGGCGCCGCCGCTCGTCGTCGTCGTCGTCGTCGTCGTCGTCGCTTGCTGGTGCCGGGGGATATTCATCGTTGTCGTGGTTGTCCTCGTCGTTGGGTTTGCCGGCGCCAGGTTGGAGGGGGGAGGGCTTGAACTCACTTCCGCATTTGTTTGCGGGGTGGCTTGAAACCACCACCCCACTCCACAAGCGACCACAGAACGCGCTCTTTCCCTGTTCTGGATCCCCTGGCCGGTTCGCTGCTTCGTGGTCTCCGAGGCCCTCAGCTTGTGGTCAAAAGCGAAAGTAGAAGCTGACTGAAGCATCGCCGCGCACATGTCAGCGTCCGTGCGAATTCCACCATTCCCATCGTGATGTTTTTTTTGGGGGGGCGAACCCCGCGCACAGCAGAGCGATCCGCAGTTCTCGCACTGGCGCCCTGGCCGCCGCAAGGCCGCGGCGCACGGGCGCCAACAGGCCTCGGCCTTCCTCTTCGCGCCCTCCCGGTGCACGACCGACAGGCTGACGACTGCGAGGGAGATCCGCTCACCCCCCCGGACGGCTGCTGGCCGCTGCTTCGCAGCCCCGGCAGCTCAGGGCGCTCGTCGTGCTACGCCTTCTTGGGCTGCACGGGCGCGCGCGCCCCGGGGCCCGACTCTTTCCAAGCGAGCCGCGAGAAGCTGGCCCGCGTGCCCTGGTACACCCTGCCGTCCTTGATGGTCACGTGGCCAACGATGTTCCTGCCTAGGCCTTCGGCCCTCCGGTGCCGCTCCGCGTCGTCATAGGAGCCCTGCCACTCGAAGCAGAAGCCTCCAGCGCAGCTTTTCGGCCAAGCAGTCTCCGTTGGCAAGCTCGATGACACAAATGACCTTGTCCGCGAGTACTCGCCCTTTGGGTGTGCACCTGGGAGCCCGAGGCTCCGTGCGCGCGAGTTCATGTTGAAGGTGCTCGCGCCGGAGTCTACGTTGAAGATCCGGTTCCGCGTGTCGCCCGCCTGGGACGAGAGCAGGCCGTGGTACTCCTCCCGCGTGCGCCCCTGCTGCCGGAAGTCGTGCACTCCGAACGTCACGCCGCTGTTTTCCATGAGTGAGACCCCAACAGGATCTGGGGCAAATGGCAACAGAGCGGCAAGCAAGGGGAATTGGAGCACTGACGGCTTGAGTCAAAACGGCTACGGACCATTCCCACGGTGATTCTTGACAATTCTCTCCTTTCTCCACCCGCCCAGTCCTCTTTCCTGTTTTGCCCCTGGTGTGTCCCGCCATGCCTTCTGGACGTGTTGTGGAACCATATGGTGGGACCTGCGCAAGTCCGCCGATCCTGTCGGCGTGTGTGAGAGGCTTTTCCGTTCAAGTCGGGCTTTCCTTTGAAGTCGTCGTCTCCGTCCTCCTCTGTTCCATTTGTCTGGGCCCTCTTCCTCATGCGCGCAGTCCAGGGCAACATTGAACAACGTAGGAGTGGAATCGAAGGGAAGCCCCTTTCCTTTGATCCCTTCCCCGCGCGGGGGGGGCGGGGCGGGGGTCCCGGGGGTGCCTCGGGGGGTGTCCCGGGGGGGTCGCCACCCAGATACGCTTAGGGGGGGTCAGATTCGTATCCCTCCCTGGGGGCCCCAGGGGCCTCAGAAAGTACCAAGACAGGCCAAGAGTGCCCCAAGAGGCCCCAGAGACGGTCCAAGAGTCCCCAATCGCCACAGGATCGGTCCACAATGCCTTCACGCCCTCCAGACTGCCCAGGAGGCCTCCAGGACGCCCTAAGACGCCTTCAAGAGCACTCTCGAGAGGGCCCCAAGATGCCAAATTCATTGATTTCCCATTGGTTTTTGAAGATTTTGGCGTTCTCGCCTTTTCCACTTCCTGCCGCTCCAAGACGGCGCAAAAGGCCTCCAAGATCGCCCCAATACGGCCCAAGAGGCTTCCGAGAGGGCCCCAAAAAAGGCCCAAGAGGACCCCAAGGCAGCCCACAACGCCTCCAAGACGGTCCAAAAGGCCCCCCTAGGCTCCAAGAGCGTGCCCAGACGGGGGACCAGAACGGACATGTCGAGCCCTCGGCCCCAAGTGGCTCCCAGGAGGTCCCAAGAGGTTACCAATTGGCCCCAAGATGCCCACAAGAGGTCCCCAGAAACCGAAGAGGCCCCAAAGAGGCTCCCAAGAGGCCCCCAAGAGGCCCCCCAAAGGCTCAAAAAATCATCCCCAGAGGCCCCCGAGACACTTCCGAAGATACCCCAAGAAGCACCCCTGAGGACTCTGGACCACTTCAGCGTCGTCGTCGTTGCTGCAGCCGCCGCCGCTGCCGTAGCTGTCGTCGTCGTCGTCGTCGTCGTCGTCGTCGTCGTCGTCGTCGTCGTCGTCGTCTCCCTTCAGGGTCGGCGGCACCGGCCGTAAGGCCTTCGCAATACCATGCACACATCGATTTGCCATTTCTTTGGGGGAAGTGCTAAGCAGCATCGTTTTCCACCCTCACTGGTCCATCCTGCCATAAAGCGCAGCGTGCTCGTGTGCTCGGTTGCTGGCGTCAGTAGGGATTCTGGCGGGCCCACTCCCTGATCCCAAAAGGCCCGGCTGTGGGCTTGCCCGTGCGTTCAGGCTGAGCGGGACGCCGCCATGCCCGGGTGGATCCAGGAGGCCGCGCTGGAGGCTGGTGACGTCGACATCGGTGGGGTTCCCGTCAGCCAGGGAGCCTCCTAAGC